GAGTAAGCTGCATCTCAGGCCATGCTTTGCAGCATAGGATGAGGCAGGACCGGGCAGGGTCATCACTTATTTATTCAGTTCGGTTTAAATCAGTCCAAGTCACCCTCACTAAAACAGTTTATTCTCAAAAAAATGTCACTGTAGCTCATCGCTAACATATGTTTTTCAGAATTCAAACAACCATATGTTCATTGCTAAAGCTGGTAAGTTCCTGTTGAACAAGCTCATCTGCTATTAACCTTGGTAAATTATATGTAAGCCATGCTGTAAAGTTCAAACAGCGTCACAGCTTTATATTGCTCAACTCTTCACACCAGCAGAAACTTTGCACCATCTGTAACAAAGCTGTTTATCAAAGACTGTTACTGTAGTGTAGAAATAGCAAAAAAATAAAATCTATTCAAGGTGTACTGAGCTGTTATACTCAATCAGTGGTCATTATAGAACATGGCTAAAAAACCTCAGGCTCTTTTTGTCAGTCTCATAATTTTGACAGTTGATTGTTAGTTGTCTGCAGAAGTCTGATTGTTTCCATGGGAACATACAGTAGCTCTTAGTTCTGAGATGGCGTGTGGGTTGGTTTGTTATAACATTTTTTGGTTTAAATTAGTTTTACTCCATGTTTTATTCATTTATTGTTGTTGACTATATAACTCAAATTAGAACAATGTAGACTAAACCCAAAACTAATGTCACCAAAAATAATAAATCCCTCTGTAGGGAGCTCCTGTCACACTACTTACTACTACTTTATTAATTACTGTTGGTAGAGTTTCCTCAGCCTCCTAATGAAGCTGAGTCACCAGCCTGTCTGCCTCTTTACATATTGACCGTTGAAGCAAAACATTGCTAGTCTCAGTATCACCGCCTCATTTTTCATCAAGACATTTTTAAATTTTAAGGGTTTTTTTTCCAGGTACTTTGAGTATTCAGCTCCTTGAAATCAGAACACAGTACCCACTTTTAACAAGCTTTTTTTTTTTTCATCTTAGATTTCAGACCCTGCCGCAGTCTTTGCTGGCAGTTTTGTTTTAACGAATCATGCAACTGTAAAATCATTATCTCTCCTGGAAGGCACTTGCTAGAGTAAGTTAGAAATGTATAAGCACTGTTTTCTCCCAACAAACATTTGAGCTGAGGGAAGTGGAATCGAGACAACAGTGTGAAACATACCCAGCCCGTTCTATTATAAACCGTATTGATCCATATTCAAAGACGGACACCTCGGAGCAGCATGCTGTATTTTAGCACTGCAGTCTGAAAATGGAATTTCCCATGAGAAGTTAAATGCAGCTAACCTGGCAAAATGCTTTCAGCAGCTTGGTTGCTGCTGTTGTGTGATATTGTCCTGTTCAAATAAGATTTAAACAAAGAAAATCCTTTTCCACTGTGGCTGTTTAATGAAACAAGTAAACCAAGGTCATGTTAATCACCACAGCAAAAGAGTGGATGAGTGATTTCAGGAAAAGCTGCAGTTTGTATACAAACAGTCTCTCCTGGGAGCAGAGTGTTGCACTAACATTCAGTAAGGTGAGGCAGTACTGCAGCTAAAACCAGCATTTGGAGGTTTATTATCAGTACATCCTCAGAGACAGAAGAAAAGCAGGTGTTTGTGTATTCCACCCAGGTATTTTGTAATAAATTTGGATATTCAAAGCCAATAGCGCTACAGCCTTGGCATTTCAAGTGAATAATGTTACTGGAAAGCCTCCAGTTTAATACATGAAGATAGACTGTTACGTTATGACCTGGCATTTAAAGGAAAGAAAACTAAACTATAAAATGACACCTGTGCACTTAATAGATACTAAAGAATAATATGCTATCTACTGTAAAAGTTGGGAGAAGAGTGCATGCGTAAGGTTTTTTTTCACTGTGATCCATTTGATCCACTCCCTGTTTTTTCTTACAGTTGTGTTTGCTGTTAACAGTTGGCAGTGCACAACATGACACCAAAGTGGTTCCTGACAACACAGTTCCAATGGAAATGTCTTTAACTACACACACGTTTTCATTGATAAGTTAGTGTCAGTATAGTTTTTTGTGCGTACAGTACTGTGCATTGTGATGGACAAAAACTCAAGGACAGCTTTTCTTTAGAATACATCGGTTCCTTAGCCAGCATTGTTAGTGGCTTACCTCCACCAACCTTGACTGAGTGGAATAGCAGTAGGATGCACTCACAAGTGTGTGTGGAGTGTAAACTGAAACCAAACAGGGACTCACTGATTAAAAACACTGCTGCATACTGTAGCGCTACTAGTGGTCAAAAACTCCACAGGGTACCTTTAACTGGCTAACCTGCCAAAATGCCATCAGTTCCCACTGCAACTCTGTTGAATAAAACTGATTTTCTCATAACTTATTTTATTAAAATTTAAAAGACTATATTTTTAAATAATATATTATAATATTTGATTCTGACACGCAGATCTCTCATTTGTGAGAAAGTTTTGTCATAATCATGCAAAGCAACATCAAAACCCATCAGACCTCCATGTTGTGCTTATAGTTAAATCTTTACTGTAGCAGTAGCCTAGCTAGCATGATTACCAAATATTAGCCGTGAGAATAAATTAAGCTGCTACACTCATCACATGACCTGTGCGGTGTGACACTCTCTTCCATTGTTTTAAATAAACCACCAAGTCTGGGCCATTATCTGTCACAGATCCATTGTCATCAGTTTCCTGCTTTAACTAAATTATTCACTCAAAGCATGTTTTCCACTTTATGAGCCTCAAGCGCCTTTCGCTGTGCTTTTGTATGCAGCTCATGGGGCACAATTTACATGCGCAGGGTACTCTTTATTGATTTCACATTTGTTTGCCAAAGTGCATGATGGTTTAAAAAAATCACTTTTCCCCCTTCCCTCATTTTCCTTTGAAAGGATTTATTTATCTCATTTAAGCTCTGGGCACTTGAAACCCCCAGATGAGAAGTTGATACTCGATGTGCATGCACAGTGAGCTTGTAGAAGAAGGTGAATGGTAGAACAAAGTGGAGTCTGATGGTGACCTGTCATAGGGTACATTTTAAGTCTCTTATATGATTGTTCCTCACTCCGAAGACCTCATAAAACTTTTATATATGCTCTGTGGAGCAAGGGTCGAGTAGAGAGGAGGCTGCTGGAGGTGCTATGAGTGAGGATACACAAGAGTGTTCCTCATAGAAGCATTTAATGGACCGATACCCCCCCTTTATTGGAAATCAGTTGGTGATTGAATGCGTCAGATGAAGGATCAGAGGAAAGGACATCTTACATCTTTATAAACGTGTTTCCTTGAGTCCTATTTCCTTTTATTTTTTCCTGGCACCTTACAGTATGTTTGTGGGACTTAGAAAACATGCAAGTGAATGAAACATGGATGCATATAAGAGACTTAAAATGTACCCATAGTCTCTCGACTTCCTTCCTTCTCTCTGTATCTCTCTTTTTCTTTGTCTGAGAGTTGCTGAGTAGGGATTCTATAATGAGAGAACAGTGATGTTGAGAGGTAGAGAGGGCAAAATCTAGGCAGAGTAGGTTGTCGGGGAATACGGGAGGAGGGAAGGTGGGAGGAGGCAGCGTTGGGGAACAGGCGGAAAGAGAAGGACTGGAGTCAGGAGATCAGGATATAAAGAGAAAATTCTTGATCTCTTGATTCTCCTATAACGTTTTTTTGTCCTAAGATGGCGCCGGTGTATGTGGCTGGCCATCTGCGGCTGTGGTGTTTGTGGTTTGTTTTAATATGTTTGTTACACTGTTTTCATAACACCTCGTCTGCCCTGGTATATGATCGCCTTACCCTTTTTAGTATCAGGGCCTCAATGGAGAAGTTTTTAAGCCGGGAAAGCCATCAAAGAGCCTTCCTCCATTTCTGGCAGCTGTTCCACCCTATCTTTGCCGTTCTCCCTGCGGCTTTCCACGAAGGAAGGGTTTGAAACGGGGAAAGAGAGGAGGGGTGGTGGTGAGGCTTAAGGCCTACCTGGGGCATTATCCTGGCCCTGGTCATCACATTTTTAACGGTGGATATAGTTTAATTCGTGACCATCCCTCTATTTTGAGTGTTTGTAGGGACTGCTACAGATGGCTCCGGCCCATTGTACCAGTCCACTCATCAGCAT